TTTCTGTATAAATCGTGTATGAATGTTCATAAAAATAAAATTTAGACGTTTTTGCTGACAAAAAAATTAGTTTTTACGTAATAACACTATCAAATTACCGGTATAAATTAATACAGAAATTGAAATTGACTATGTCGCAACATATAATTTTTCGCGCCTTAGTCCATCCTTCAAATCTACGATTCGTCCTTGCACTGAATACTCTTGCCATATATGGTCTGGTGCCCCAGCTGTTCAACTCGAAGTCCTCGAAAAAATCAAGAAACAGATATGCAATGTCATAGGTCCTGACCTGGCATCTCGTCTACAGTCACTTTCTTACAGACGTGCTGTGTCTTCCCTTTGTCTTTTTTACAAGTATTTTTATGGCAACTGATCTAACGAGCTACTTCCACTGGTACCCCAACTGCATGAATTTGAACGGGCTATTAGGTTGCAAGGAAAGACGGAATGATGCTGTTTGGCTTCAGGGAGAAAACGAACGTACCATAAAGAGAAGATTGAGGACTTGATAACACACTCATGTGTTTGAATTCTGTTTAAGTGAAGTGGCAAATTTTGTCAATTTCAAATCTTTTCATTTCTATCCTCTTACTTCTTTAAATAATTTAAATTTATTCGTACTTAGAATTATTATTGTAATCATACTTATTATAAAACCCATTAATGTTGTGTGTGTGTGTGTGTGTGTGTGTGTGTGTGTGTATTGTGTGTGTGTGTGTGTGTGTGTGTCTGTACGTTTATATATTGGATCGGATTTTTTTCATTTTTTCAACAAAACTTCACAGGACTTCGTAAAATTTTTTTGCGGTGGTTCTGATTTTGCCAAAAAAAAAAAAAAAACAATTGTTTTTTGCACGAAATCAATTTGAAAACAGAATTAAGAGTCATCGCGAGAATGAAAGGGGACAACTCATATCGAATTATACTTATTATAAAACCCAGGTTGTTTGTGTTGTGTGTGTGTGTGTGTGTGTGTGTGTGTGTGTGTGTGTGTGTGTGTGTGTGTGTTCGTTTATATATGGGATCGGATTTCCTACATTTTTCAACCAATTTCAACAAAACTTCACACTTTTTTTTTGGCAGGTAGTGTTTCTTATTGTCTTGCACATTTTTTTCTTTATTTTTTACATTCAGAATGCTTTAAAAATTCCATTTACAAGACAATTGTTTATAATAAAATTCTATTCAATCGATAGACTCATAACGATTGAAAACAATGTTTTTGTTTGAGTTTGGGTTTGACCAATTAGTAAAAAAAAATAATAATAATTAAGGCATGCGTGTCCGTCAACCTTAAACAATAATCTTTGTCAATTTTATTTTTCTGTCTTTATGATGGTCGATACTTTATCTATCTCTTACACTTACACCCCCGGGCAACGCCGGGCTCTACTGCTAGTATTTGTTAAATTCAAATATTTAACGATACAATAGGTGAATTTCCACGTATATTTTATAGTTGTAGGATTCTGTGGTCAACAATTACATAGAAGCAAGAGAGCCAAAATGGCTTCCATCTGGTGCAAAGGAAAATAAGTTCCTTAACTCAAATCACGGCACGGAGCATCGTCATTTTGTTCCAATAAAACAGTAATAATCCCTTACTTCTGTTTAGGTGAAATGATTTACGAATTTAAATAAAAGACTTTTCTATTTTAAGTGCAAGGAAAGACCAACTAGCCATATTAATAAATCATTATTATCCCCAAAGTAATCTTTCAATCTTACTTATAATTGGTATTCTCAAATAGTCACTTATTTTCACACAGTAAATTTTTACATGGGAAAGGTATGAATCCACTTCTTATTTCCTCAGCTATGGTTTAATTAGTAAGACTTGTATCATTAAACCATTATTAGCTCAAAAAATATCTTAAAATCTAAAAAAAGTTTCTGGCTTTAAATATCCTGGAAAGTGGTTGATAAGCCCTAGAAAACGAATGAATGATTCAATCCAATGACTTTTGACCCAGTGCCGGTTAAAGAAATGGGTTCATGCCTTTCCCAAGTGCATTTGTGCGAAAGTGAAGATAACATACTAGGTCGAAATGTCACGCGAATCCCTATTTATATTATCTAATCAAAATGGCGGGACACAAACCCTTTCCTTTCAAACAGCGGCCGACGCCACAGCACCAAATAAATGTCAATCTATCTAAACTTTGAACAGCGAGGGCACAGCAGATGGTTTCTGTTGCTAACTCTTTCTGTTCAGCCAAACTACAAAGAAATATATACGTTCTATGCATCCAACATTGTATATACTTCTCTCCTTTAGTCACTCAGCGCCTCTGCGTCGACTGTCGACAAACCTAACACAAGCCTTATTTTTTGTTGACCGATTGCAGTGCTTTCCAAACATTTTTTTTTCTCTGGGCCGCATTTTCGGAATTAAAACTTGGACGCGCCTCACCAAATTTTATGTGTTAAAAAGTACATTTAAAAATAAAAAGCCAACAACCAGAGATGGTTTTAAAGGGGAGATAACCGCGAACTT